CACACGTGATTTGAAGGAGCTGTCATCCTTCCAGACGCCCCACTGAAGAAGCCCATTCCCGAATCCATCAGATGTTCTTTTGCACACTTTTTAGCAATAAGTGTCCTTTGTCGTCTTCATCCAGCCTTATTTTGATGCTATTTCACGTAACCAGCTTTTGTACAGTCCCAAAAACTATCATTCGACTCATAAACTATTTCCGAGAACGGGTGTTACGCCGAGGAAAATAATAAGAAAAATATAACCGAACGATTCCAAAGTGTGACGTTTACGAAAACTCGTTCCATATGAATTTGTTCTTGCTACAAGCATGATGCTGTAAAGTGTGTAGGAAACTTGTACTAGGCCTAGTGGGATGATCACTTTTCCATAGGGGTTCGAAATTTCGGAGCTCACTGGTCCTTCATAAATGGAAAAATTCCTCTTCAGCAGAGGATCTACCCACGCAGTATGAAACACGGGCCAAAGGTACTAGTTGGTAGTTGGAGGAGGGAACGTTAAGGGGTGTGCCACCAGACAAAGTGACTATACCGCGTTGTCTATAGTATCCTCGCCACACTTAGTCGAAGCACGCAGCCACGCCTACGCATCTCGAGGATTGCGAGCATACAGTAGCGCTACCGCGTGACACCCCCTTTAACTGTTAATGCCCCTAAAACGAAGAAAGGAACTGTTTTTCACATAAGGATTTACACACCCAGACGAGTCCCTGCATGGAGTTGACTTCGTCTGTTGCGCATAATCTATGAAAGCGCTATTTACTCTATAAATTACTGCTAAGCCTGTGTTTTTGGAGATAGGGGAGGGCTGGATAGCAGTGACTAGGACAAGAAGTGCAGAGCGCAGTATGACGCTTCTCGGCTCTGGCCTATTCTTTTGTGGCCCGAAGGTAGGGCACTCTGGTCGTCTGTGCTCTGCTAAGACTGAACGGGAAGGGATCACTTCTCCTCTCAGGGCCAGAGGACCAGGGCACATCGTTGGTTGGGGAATCCCCAACAGGGGGGGGTCGTATTTGGCCGCCAGGAGAGGGGGGGGGTCGTAGTGAGTGCGGCAGCCAGTAACGAGCAGCGCAAATTGTCAATGTGCTGAGTCCTGTACAGCGAAACTTGCTTTGTAGAGAACTCGGATATGCAAAAAAATAGTACAAAACTTTCATTCATCAAACTAATCCGAAATAACTGCAAATATTAATAAGTCGACATCATCTCGTAAGTCCGTTGGTGACTAAACAGTACAAACTCAAACTCTGGTTCGCTGCCAATGATATGGCGTGTCGCGCTTGGCGCTGAGCCAACCTGTTTTTTTCTTTGACAAGCGACAGGACTACCATATCGTTCGTATAGACGTTTTCCAGCAGTTGGTCTCCTTTATCGGAGTCAGCAATTGGCGGAGCACGAATCTGGCAGCGTCGACAGGGACATGTTCCATCATACGCAACGGAAAACACTGTAAACAAGTGCACAGGCTCGCCATGGACCTCCCTGAACCTATAGACAACATATTGTACTGCGGTGGACAGACATTACGCACAAGATTCACACATCCTTCCCATGTTCTTGCGCGGACCTCAGTGCGCGGCGCATCCAAAGTCAGCGTGATCGGCGCTGAACGAACCATATTCTGCCCCTGCTCCACCACAGGATACGCTTTTTCATGCGTTCCTTTTTACTCGAAACACAGCCTCACTTTGAAACGGTACACAGGAAACGTGTTTTTCGCGCAGCTCGGTAGTTACCGCGAGAAATCCCCATCGCCAGATCTCATGAATCCCGAGGACTTCAGAAACAGTTCAATAGGTTTTTAGAAAGAGCAAGTCTTCATACACTCGAATCCGTTCTCAGATTTGTGAAATGTTGAGTTACAAAAAAAAAATATATTGATTCAAACCTGTTCCTGAAAAAAAATCCCCATCGACTCCCTATCGCATACTTCTCTGTGATCTTTGCGGCCTTCATAAAAGTTCCAGCACTTTTTGGGAAGTGCAAACCTTCCTCTACACGAATACGCTCTCCTCTTCCCCATAGGTCCGCTTTTGAGGAAGTTATGGTCCTTCAAAGACACCCACTTTGCTGAAAACTCGCGTTCCACATGGCTGGTCCTGCCCAGAATCCCTTCCCCCGGTACCTCGGCCTTTAATCAGCTGATTGTGTCTGGTTTGCTCTCGTTCGTATTTACTCTTTCGTATTTAACTTCTTCGTCGGTTAGAATCGAATATCGAACATTTATCTTCTTCTAGGTTTACTCGAATACGCGTCAGAGCGCGCCCAAGCAATTTTGCTTGGACCGCTCAGAGTGCTTTTAGGAGAAGTTGGCTTAATTTCCTTTTTTTTTTCTTTTAATTGCAATTGATTTAGGTACCAGAGTTTGTTTTTGACTCGAGGGAAGGTGGGTGGAACCTAATGGCCTTTCTCTTTCTATTCTCTTTTCTGAATTAGGATAGAAATGAGCAGAAGCGAGGGGGGCCTCATTGAGGTTGTTACTTTTCCATTTTTCGCGCACTTATATATAAAAAACTTTATGAAGTTTCTTCCTCCTCGGGGGGGGGGGAGGGGAAGAAACTTCATAAGTTTAGGTATAGGGGGGGTCGTACCGAACCCCCAAAAAAAGGGGGGGGTCGTACGGGCTTCACCAAAATCCCCATCGAATGCTGTGCCCTGCAGCAGGACTCGATTGCGCCACAAAAGAATGGGAGCTATGCTTGTAACCAGCACTTGTTCAGATTTTGGTGAAAAATGTGGTGGCTTGGGATGGGGGCCAGGCCACCAAATAACCCCTTTCGTGCTTTTTTAAGGCCTCTGCAATCCTTATCACTGAAGTTAGTCGGAGCGTACCAGCTGCTCGAGGGATTTAGCGACACCATCCTCCCTCTCCCACCACTCGTTCACCGCCCCACGATCAATGGATAGGGGAGACGTCCAAGGGAATCGTAAGGAGCCACAAACGTCGCGCGCCCCACGACGTTCGCGTCACAACTTTAATTTGCGATGACTGTGGTTGATAATGCCGACGTTGCCCTCTACAAGTAAGACGAAATCTCTGTCGAGACACTGCTCCGGGTCTCCGGTCCGTTACAATAAAATCTGCCGCGATCAGAGAAAAGCGATATGCTCGCATACAAAGTCCTGCAGGAGTCAGCAGATTCGCGGAAAATCTGAAAGAAGCCAGAAAAATGCCCAAGGGGCAGACATGAACGATCAGCTCTATGTCTTCCTTCGAAGTTCTGCCGATTCCTCCACTTCCACGGACTCTGTAAAATCTGCGAGTTCCACGCTATCTGATGTCTGAACATTGCTCGCACACTTTCTCTCCACATACAGTCGTCATCCTTGCACTTGATAGTCAATGTCAGTGCGGCTGCGTGCGGCGCGGTCGCCCGCACCGTACTGCACCAATCGTTGAACCAGGAAGTGACATTACTGTATTATATCCTTCGTGTTACTCGTTTTCTATCACTTTTTGTCGCATACGCGTTTCAACGAAAAGGCTGAGAAGGCTTCAAACAGTGTGCACGCTCCTTCTCGCCGACACGCCCCTATCAAGTGCAAGGATGACGACTGTATTTCACGGAATCTCTGACTATGAACGCGGACTAATCTGACCATGAGCACGAGATTCCAGTCAGGGCACATCACTAGTTGGGGATTTGGTCGAGTTGCGACGCGACCCCCCCCCCTAATGTAAGAGGCGGCCTGATACGTCCTCTCTCTGGTTCGCTCCTCTGATACGATCGAGCTGTCGAGCGTGGGGGGGGGTATACAACACATGTAAGACCGCGAAGAGTCAGCAAACGGGCAACCGGGATAGTTAACTCCACAAGTTTCCTCGGAAGGCAAATTAATACGACCCTTCCCTCTCAATATGAGCCTTCCCCGCCCCCTCCCCCCCCAGTTAGAGGGGCCGTGAAACGAGGGAAACAGCCCACTAGAAAAAGAATTCCTAGACGAGGTGCGGTCGCCCATCCTCAATGAGCAAATAACCGACCCCAGCTGTCAGGGAAGCCCAGCGGCATGATGTGCTTTGCACTTCAATAAACCCGTGCAAGAGAGTGCGTTAGCTCTATTCGAGAACGGCTTGGTGTATGGACGAGATTGCTCCCTATTCGTTTTCGAGGCCGAGACAGACGCGCTGCAGTTTGCTTCGACTGAGTATCTATGTTTACGTGTGTTCATGTGAATATTACAATGAAAGTTTCACTTTTAATTAATTTCATTACTGGAGTTAAGTTGCTTGAGTTTTTCTTAGAGTGCTTTAGACTATGGTTCAGCTCGATGTTCTGCATTTTTTTTGCATTGATGGTGATAGTACCTAAAATTCCTCCCAATTTTTTTGACAGTTCTTGAACTGCGAGCTTTTCTCCTCCCCTACTTTTATTTGTGGCATGAAACATGCATTAATGTTATTTTCGTTCTTTATGTGTCGATACTTCGGTTCACCTCAAAATTCTTCACTTAATTACTAACGATTTTTTTGTCCACTGTCATCGAGATAATGTTGATAACCCTCATTATTGTTCGAAACAGTAGAATGTAAGCGTTCTAATTTGTAAGGACTTCGTGTATTGTTTGGTTTTTTGCAGTCGCATGTTCATGTTGCTTTCATTCGCATTATTTTCTTTATGAATTCACAAGAAGTGATGAATTTTGCGCTACTATAGCATGCGAGGCCATTTTATCAAGTTCTGTTTGCACTCCGAACCCTTTTTAAAATGCTTGAAACTGGTGTTAAGTCTCGCAAACTCTTATAGGCCACCTCTCACGAGATGCGAAAGCTAATTGTTGCCAAAAGGAATTTTTCACTTTTTCCGTAGCTCGCTCCGCTTATTTTTGGGCGTGGTGATTCTGCAGCTTCATGGAAGTTTCAGAACTTTGGCCTTGCACGTGACCGTGCTTGACAATTTGGCCCACTATATTGACAGTATACAATGTGTCTCGCTATATTACACTGTTGCCATTAATTCACGAACTCTACCTTTATTATTTCAGTAGTTCGGCTTGGCCAACATGCAGATTTTCATCAATGCCTTAGATGGCGGAATTCATCGCCTCGAAGTAGCACCGGAAACTACCGTTGCACAGATTAAGGTATGGCTTTTGTAGTTATGCACATGCTTGAAATCTATGACTAAACCCTCGACTCGTATGTGGGCAGGATCGGCTCAGTAGCAAAGCTAAAATTAGTTTAACGTTGCAGACTTTCGTCATTTTCTTTAACACTTTTATTTTTCTTCTAGTTTCAGCCAATGTAACCAGTTTTGTTAAGGTCATATTCTGCATTTTCTTCAATTTTTTTGTGTTGCAGAAGGACCTTGGAGCTAATGAGCATATTCTCTCCTATGGAAGCTCCATTCTGGAAGACTCATTGAGCCTTTCGAGTCTCGACATTTCTGATGGAGCCTCGCTTGCCATAAATGCCAGACTTCTCGGAGGTGAGTTGCAAGGCACATTAGAACCTTTTTCTTTTTTTTTTCTTGGACATTTTCACTTTGTTGGCATCATTTATTTGTTCTTGTATACTCAATTGGTTTTTTTTTTCGTTCTGCCGACTGCCGTTGCTCGAAGTTTTCTTCCGCTGATGGTGCACTAAAATTGGGTCCGCATTGCATTGATTTCATCAGCATGCACATTACCAGCTCAATTCGCTTGCCGCTTTTCGAAAAATTGGCCAAACTGTGTAGTTTACTGTGCTTTCAGCTCCCATATGTCATCTTGTTTGTTTTTGACTTCTGGAAAAAAGACCCGGGGAAAACCCTTGTACTTTATCGTGGTAGTGGTGGTAATAACATGTAGCAGGAGAAACTGTAGTGGCTGTGAAATGCGAAAGCCAATAGCACTGCATAACAGAAAGTTTTGTAAGGTTGCTATAGTGACTGATTAGTTATCCCTTCTTAACACGGTCAGGGAAAATATGTTACCACAATTAGTGTTAATGACAGTTGGCGATAAATCCCCCTCCCCCCACCAAGACGAGTAGGATCGATACTCCTGGCAGACGTAATTCCGCAACCCTGAGCAGGCGCTACTATAGCGCCTTTTCAGTTGAAAGCGTCCTTGAATAGAGCCAGTGTCCAAGCCACAACATACTGATCCGAACGCCCACCACGCCCTCCCGCCCACAAATGGACGACCGTTCCTGACGCTCGTATTCATTCATTTGCTAAGCAAATTATGAAGCGAAGGGATTGGTATGAGCGGCCGTGATGCTGCATGGTTGAGTACACATATGCAGACGCTTATCTTGCAGGTTAGCGCGTTTACTGACAAGGTTGCATATGGAAACTTCGTCAATTGATTAAGACATTGGAAGTCTTTTCTCAAGGGATTTCGACCGTTTCACTCCGTTCTTTCGCACATTTCTCCAATCCTAAGGTAAGGCGCCCCACTAAGCATTTTTCAAGCCGAGTACTTAATCGTAGTGCCAACTGCCTTTGAAGATTTATAAGGCGATACACATTTGGGTGCGTTCATAGTTTTCATCGGCATTTCGAGCAATCGAACCAGCGCTTTCAGCCATCGTTTTGAGCGTATGTCAGCGAATGCCGGCGTATGCTCCAATGCCTGATCAATGCCTATACTTTCCTAGACGCTCAAAGCGCTACGACACGCTCAAAACGCTAATGCTGTGCAGTGGGTCATCAAACGCCGAAAGAGAAATAGAGCACATAGTACATTTGAGATTTTCCAACGCAAGAGCCCTTTCCCAGCCTTTAGCGCGATTTTTTTACTAATTCGATCGCTTTGAATCGTTTCGTCCTCGTCTTGTAAAAAGCTCGACGGATTGTCGTAGGAGGAGGTCCTATAGAATGAAAAACTCCCTGCGTCAAAACACTAGTGTCTTCTACTGAATCTGTCCAAGTTCTATTCCTCTTGTCACAGGCTGCTGCTTTTGTCACTTCCCGGCCCTCAGAAGACATTTGTTTGAAAAGTTGTTCATTTATCTTTATCACCTTTTGTCCTCAAACAAGAATATGAACACCTGAAAGGCTTGATTTTCTGAAGAAGAGTGTTTGAAAGGATCGAGATGGTTGGTGAAGGCATATGAAAAATCGCTTTTTGAAAGTTTTTCTTCCTTCCTCGATGAGGACACGAATTGGTGTGTACCAAACACACATACGAAACATTTCAACTTCCTCTGAATCGTATTTATCCCAGTGAAGCCTACTATTGAGCGATTATATCGAAAGATGCACAGTAGCTGCCTAAATTCTGTATAGAAAAAGGATTTTAACATACTGGCGGGTGTAGACGGTATTCGACGTATGCTATCATTTCACTTTTTTTGAGTTGAAAAATGCTACGTTAAACCGGGGGCCCTATGCTATATTTTCCCCTCGAAGGGGAGATTTCCCCCAGTGAGTCTCCGCTCTCTACGTTATCTCTATCAATGCCCCTCGTCTCTCTGCTTCTGCCTCTGCATCTATGTCTCCCCCACTCTCGGAATCTCCCCCAACGACATTCGCTGGGGGAGAGGGGAGCATATCGATTATACTCTGCGCTGCACTATATTCGCACAGAGCATGCGCCAAAAGAGTATGGATGCAGAGCGGTGAGAGCCAGAGAGACGAAGGGCATTAGTAGAGATAATGGCAGGGATTGGAGATTTACAAGTGGGTATCTCCCTTCGAGGGGGATAGCATACGAATTCGGCTCAACAAGCTAAAGCCTGCCGCTCTGTTGGGCACCGTTCAAAGCTTGTGACAGTGAAGAATCGACGAACTGAAGAAACGTAGAACTGAATAGTTGACGAAAGCGATTAGATACGTATCGATCTGAAGACGTGCAAAGAAGCTTTGAAGAATTGCGGGAATGGATCGATACATGTCTAAACATTTTCTCGACACTTCACTTCTGCAATTCTGTATAATTCGTCAATTCTTCAATCTTGCATACTATAAACGCGGCCTTACATTTTCAGTCTCCGCGATCTGGATTTGAATGGTCGTTTTCGATCGAACTGTGTATATAAGCTGATTCAAAGACACTCGGAGTGTAAGACACCGAAAACGGGTGCTGATTATCTCTCATTGCGAGTGCCGATTGAAAGAGTTAGAATGAGCTAGGAAAAACCTGAGGTTTGGACGGATCTGGTAGCTAAGGAGGGAATAAGGCTAGGCTAGGTACGCTAAATGAAATGTGTTATTACGAGTGCAGTAATATACACCCAAAAGATTCCCAGCTTCTTTGTAAGGCATGCAAGTGTCGTAAGGCCATTTTGAAAGCGCGTTATTTCGTGGTAATTAGTGGATGAATGCAGAATTGCGAATTTTATGGGAAGCACTGGCTATCTCAGTTAAGCCCCGGTTATTTAGAGGATGCCTACCCTATTGTAACTGACGACCTTTTGGTGTCCTTACTCCACTTTCCCCCCCCCCCCACCCATATCTGGGCTGCTCTATAACCGGATTATGACGGGGACATCTCTCATTTTCAGGGCATGTCCCGCCCCGTCCTTTGTGGACACGCTTAGCATATGTCGTGAGTGTTGCATACATCTTGCCCTGCCACTCATGCTAACCCTGGCCCGACCTCTCCAAGTTGCTCTTCAGGTGAAACCGAATTTCATATAGACAGACAAGAAAAAAAAAAACGTGGCAAATTATATGAAGTAGGGATGTTTTTATTATGATAGCAACTGCATAACGCGGCACTTTCCGGTGCATGTTATCTCAGGTATGTTGGCGTTCATGGGGCAAAGTCTCAGGTCGGTAGCGCCGGACTCAAAACCCGTAATTTATGCCTCCCGGGGCGAGGTGCGTAGGTGGCATAGCGGACTCGCCTCGTTTAAACATGGAGTGTCGGGTTTAGCGTTCCACGATTCAGGTTTGACTTTTGCCATAGTTCAGCGATTCTGTTAACATTGTTTGTAGCGGACGACTACCCGTTATGACACAAAAATAAAAAGTTCGCCTTTAGGTAAGGTCCAACGGATCTCTGGCGCTCGTCCGCCGGAAAGTGTGCGCGCCCAGACTCCTAAGGTCGAGAAGCAGGAGAAAAAGAAGAAGAAGAAGGGTGAGTTGCAGTAAAACTTTCGTTACCTGCGCTGCTTGTATACGCTAGTACTGATATTTTCTTGTAGGACGTGCGGCGCGACGAATCCAGTACACGAGAAGATTTGTCAATGTTGCTACTGGACCCGGAAAGAAGCGCGGACCCAACTCGAACGCTGCTTAATCTGTTTTCTGTTGATTAAGATAAATTGTTATCGTTCGTTCTTTGTCACATTCTAAATAAATCGTAAGGCACGATCATATTTGTTCCGAAGAAAGCGGATAGAAATAACCGGTTCCTCTGGGATTTAGAAATGCTAAAGTTCAGAGTAAGCGTTTGCAATGGAAAACTCGTTATAGGAAAATTAGATGTCAGAGGAACTGCTTCGGAAGTTTTTGGACGATATCGAGGAGGGTTAGTAGTTCAGACACTTTATTCTTGCATTCAAATTGATCACTGCGAGTACATGGAATTGCACTCACGTTTCTGCGGAACTAGACTAGCGCGGTCCTTGATAGTTGAGCAGCAACCTGGATCACTCACTTCAGCAGCATGGTAAATCAGTTTATTAGGATAGAGATTTTTGTCACTTCGATTCTCTGACTCCTATGAGGCGGAAAGGAGAGTGCTCATCATAAGGGTACACAGGAAAGGGATATCGTTCTTTTCTCGAGACGTATTTAGGCCTGCACTCCCATGAATACTTGACATCGTGGCAGTCTTGCGAGACGGTGTTAGGAGGGATGGAGTGATTTCGCGTCCGCTGAGATTTCTACGCTCAGTAGTCGGTGAATTTCGGGAAGAAATCAAGGAGTGGTAGGGAACGCCGCGTCTGAGCTCATTCCGTGTCTCTTGGATCGCTCCGACTGATTGAAACGATATCAACTGTATAAGGTCACTGCTACACAAAAACTATTTCAGAGGCTAGCGCTTTGAGTGGGAATGAGAGTTTTCGTTTTCCTTGGGATTCTAAAAGAGCCGGAAAATTTCCCAAGTATGCGGTGATCTATGCTCTCCTTATCTTGAGTCTTTCGGTGCTAGATGGAATGCTCGGCAGCGCATTCCGACTGAGTTGGGAGGCCTGGAGGAAGAATCTAGGTGCAAAAGCCGACGGCAACTTCACTACCTAAAAAATGGCTCGCACCTTAACCCTAAGTTCGGACGCCGGCTTTTTTAAATGTTTCCTTTTCTTTTCAAGAGTTTTTCCTCTATGTTTCTGGTTTTTTGTTTTCTTTTCTTCGCATTCGATGATATCCACTACTGGGAGATGTGACAAAGTGATTTGTAAGGTAGGGGCGCACAGGGACGCAGGAAGGACTGTCAGGCGGCCGAATTTTATTTATGGTGTTCCTTGAGGGCTCTTGTTTCTTTTTTCCTTCATTGAGGAATTACATATCAGCTACTGTTCTCATAATTGATCAGCAATTACCCTTGACACTTTTATCGCGGGAGCTGTCTTTAAGCCCACAAAATGGTTAGCGGTAGTCATCGCGGTCGTACATTTTATAGAGATCTGGACGTTTCAAGCCATGAACCCGTTCGGGCTCTATTCCCACGCCATTAGAGGAGAACTGCGGCGTTTTTTTTTTCGCTGGCTGCCGCGTGTGCCCGAGCCATATTTCGCAACCTCGCCGGCGTGCTGCACATGGTGCAGCACGCGGCCACGCAGAGCGGTATTTCTCGCGCCCGCAGCGAAGTATAAACTCAACGTACGTCGTTTCGCTTCTCCAGGCTATTTATTTTTGAGAAACTACGCCCTGATTTATG